AAGAAGGACATGACCACTGGCACCGCTAGCGTGACCGATGGGCCGGCGCTGCACAACAAACAGCGTCCAGGTTGATGCCGCGCACACGGCATGCACATGAAGAAAAAGCAGAAAGGCAGCAGTCGGACAAAGGGAAAGTCTATCCACACTAATTGTTGTTTTTTCTCCTGTTTTATTGAACAAATCCAACAGCCCGCACGCCAGCCACCACCACACCCGAAACACTTCAAATAGACGCAAAGCGGGCTCCCGCCCTCCCTCCTCGCAAAGCACCGGTGCCTGGCAGAACGTCAGCACAGCCACCCGCGCCACGTACAGCCACTTGCAGCTGCAGCTCCAACGCGCCGTGTGGGCCGCACACAGCTCCCCGCATCATTCTCGGTAGTCCCCCACTCGCGCATGCCATCGCAGAATTGTCACAGCCCTCAAAAACATGTGTGACAGAAAGACTCCCTGCGTCACCCACAGCAGAAGCGTCAGTAGCACACGCACAACGCCCACCACAAAAACAGCGCAGCAGCGGCACTCTCCGGCAAGCTACACAGCTCTAAGCATCAAGCATGCATGCACACACATTCGCACGCACGCTGCAGAGCCTCTTCTATTGACTGCATGAGCCCGCAGCGACCGCAACCAATCTCCCAAATGTACTTGTAAGCAACGCCATCCACGCCGCAACGCATGGGGCCGTCACCTTTTCCTTTTTTGCCGTCACCGTTTCCTTTTTTATCGTCGCTCTTCTTGACCAGTTTTAGTTCACCGACGCTCAGTGGGCGGCTGTACAGAAAGACGTTCGTCACTGTCACGCTGCTGTCGCTGTCTCCCTCGTCGCCCCCAAAGTAGAAATGTGTGATTTCATATCCCCGCATCTCAGGTGTCGCTATATTCTCTGGGCTCCCCACAATTTGGCCATTCACGTACACGGAGCCCTTATTGCCGTCCTGCAGCATGAGCGCCACCTGGTATCCTCTCTCCGGCTCCCAAGTGCCGTTCTGTGATGTTTTGGTGCCGTTGAACACCGTCTCCCACCTTTTATTCATGCCGTACGACAGCCCAATAATCTTCGTACTCTTACTGTCACCCAGGCACACAGCCAACAGAGGAGTGCTCACATATGGGACTAGGCGGACGGTCACCGTCGCCACAAGAGCAAAATTGTGATCCACAAAACCGTGATTCTTACCGTGCTCCCAGCTGTCAAAGGGCCATATTGCCCTGGACCCAGGGCCTGTGAAGTCATAGCCACTTTTTACTCTCGCCGCTTCCATAACCGTTGCATTCACGCAGCGGTACTCGTCAATCCACTTGCGGTCACTGGCTGCATTGGACAGGAGTCCAACCAGACCAGCCGTGGGTGTAGACGAATTGGAAAAGAAGGCGTCAATCTGTGCCCAAGTACTGAAGACGGACCTGATTTTCTTCATTTTCTCCGTCAGGCGGGCAAGAGATATGCCCCGGCGCGTTCCCACAATACTCTCTCGTGAAAGGTGCAAAGCACCATCCGAGTATAGCAGGGTGCTGCCAAACCCTCCATTCACAGCACTCCCCGGAGAAATTGGTCCAACAGAAAACGAGCGGTTGTTATCCGTGACCCAAAGGTAGAGCGCATTGGCCTTATTCTCCCTAGAGAGGTACCTATTCCGGGTGTACACCATGACCTTCCTTCCCTCAATCGTCGCGGTGATGAGGGCATCCACGCGCAGGCTTTTCTTCTGAGAGTCTCCCGATCCTGAGTTGACCCACACGCCTGAGAGTGTCCCGACAGCCTCCGCCCACGTTGTCCCCATGTCACGCGAATCGTAAACCATTTGGCCGTCCTTGCAGTCAGTAACCATGAGAATTTGTCCCGTCCCCCATTCGGTAATGCGGGGGTTAACGCAGTCCGCCGAAGAAATGCCCTCTGGGAACACCCAGGTATTGCCACTGTCCGTCGAATAAGTGATCATGGAGAAAAGGTGACAGTTTTTTTTTTCGACGACGTCAAGGGAAACACGAGCGTGCCATTCCCCATCACAATGCCTGACCCGCCACCGGGCAAAACGTCCTTCAAATCACTTTGAGACTTTGGGCTATTTGTTGGCGAAAACTGTTTGGGAGCACCCCATTTGATCGGTTCACTCTGCACGTCGTCATTAGACTGCGTGAATTCACCCACAACCAGTTGAATATGTGAGCCACCTAGCTTCCACCTCTTCGTATTTTTGTAATAGTTCATATGACATCTTCCCACAAGTAGAAACACATTATTATCCCGTGCAATTGCTGTGGACCGGAGCGAAACACCCAAGCGTCTCCCCTCATTTCCCCGGCTAAAGACGGTGTATGCATCCCGTTTATCTTTATTGGTCTCATCGACAAGAGAGGACCATCTCTCCGCAGCCTTGATGTGCCCCGCCACAATGTCAGAACAAGCAAGCCCATTCAATTTATCGTGAGGACCATTATACTTTGTGCAGCCTTCGGCAAAGGCAACAATTACTCCACCAGCACGGACGAGAGAGGGTGAACCAAAAGAACCTCTCACTCCACTCCCACTAGCTAGATTAGAACTTTTCGTCACTACCCTTGTCTTCTGCGGCACAAAAATATCGACCCTTTGCGGTGATTCCGCCCCCTTTACAAATATCCTTTTCGCGGCTGCAGCTCCACTGCCGCAGCACATCCACATCAAGACAAGTAGGAGCAGCACCGGGGAAACAAACACACGCCGGGACATGTTGGGCCTCTGCGGCTCACTCTCTCTTCCTTCCCTCCTCCTTCCGCTGGATCCGGTCACGCGGCGACGGTTGTGTGTGCGGGGTGCCTCCACTGCAGCAACGCGTGAGAGCATATAAATATTTGTATGTGTGGGCGGTGTGTGTGCTGTTTTTGGTTCTTTCACTGCCTTCGAATTTCACAGTAGCGATTCGCGCTTGTTTGCTTTCCTTCTTTCCTAGCGTGACTGTGTTCAAGAAGTGGAGGAGACAGCAACAACAGCGGAAATACACCAGAAAGGTCAGTGGGGAGCAGAAAAAAGCACCCACGCAAAAAGCGGGGCACGAAACAATCCGTAAGGAACAGCACGGGGAACCATCGCACAAGGAAAAGAGCATCAACACACTCACGCGAGGTGCGAGGAGAGCACCGACCCTCTCGCAGACACCGTACCCAAAATGGAATGACAAACAGAGAGGCAGAGAGAAAGAGAGTGAGACAAATGGATGCCGTCGGGAGGCACTCACAATCAAAATGGCTCGTGAGCATGCGGCCACTCCACGCAGGAACACGAGAGGAGAGAATGACAGGGGAAAAGCAAGAAGCAGCACAAAACACACAAAAGAAACAAACAACGGGCGCGAAAAGCACCGCAAAGACCCTCATACTGGCTGGCAACTTCACACCAGCCCACACACACAGAGACAAAAAAAAAATCGCAGTGCCGTCAGTCCGCAGGTGAGAGGATTCGGCCCTCCACACAACAAACGCACACACCGCCAGCAGCCATCCACCAACGGACGAGAAAAAGAAGCGACACACCGCCATCACCGTCTCCAGTTCAATCCCACGGCCAACGAGACACGGCCACAGCCCGCTGCCGGCACACAACGAATAAGAAGCGAGCAATCAACCAAAGAGCCGCACGCGAAAGCGATTCTTCATTCATCCATGACGCGGCAACAACATTTCCAGCAATTTCATCCCCAATGGGATTCGGTGCCCGACTCAAAGCGGTCACAGGCGGTGCATCACGCCTGCAGGAAAAGTGACTCGCCGTGCGCGCTCCCTCTCCTCCCCTCGCTTCATGCCCACAGAAGGAGGCGGCAGCCGCCAGAACGCACTAAAAAAGAAGCATCAAAATCCACTGCAATGTGTATTTTGTGGTTGTGTGTGCCTGCAGAAACACGAGGCAAAGAGGTAAAAAAACAAAAGCAGAGCATTTAAAGAGACACACAAAAAAACTGTACAGCAGAAGTGCATGGCAAAAATAACAGGACTGCTCAAGCTCATGATATTGCACTGCAGACCAAGCAGCGGCAATTCATAAAAAATTAAATAAAAATAATTAAAAAAATTCATCTTCACCCTTCCACACCTCACACTTTGGAAACAATAAGAAAAAATGAAAAAAAATGAAAAATGAAAAAAGCAAAAAAAAAAAATTTGAAAAATGTCGTCCTCTATTACGGCTACACCCAAATTAGAAAAAAGAAAAGAAAACCCACACACAAAAAGCACCCAACTACCATGCTGCTCCAGAAATTGTTTGTATATTTTGCCCACAAATTAAAAATTAAATATTTAAGTGTCTTTCAACCGTCCGACCCTCCGCGTGTCCGCACATCGTTTATATTTCATGGGGTCATCTGCGTGTTGCTGCTCCCCTCAGCCCTCCCATCGGCGTGCGAGTGCGGCCCGCAGAGCACAGTCACTCGTGTGTGGGGACTGAGAGAAGCACGCAGACACGACGGCAGTCGCGTCTCTCCATCGGGAGAGTGAGCGCAGAAAAAAAAGAAAAACACGGCGGCAGGGTGTGGCTGTGTGTGTGGCGCTGCGGGTGTCTGCCCGCCCTGGCCGCAAAGAAAACAAAACAAGAGGGAAGAAATGTGTGCTCCGCCCCACAGGCCCTCGTCGCACGCCCACACGTCACGGCTCCCTCAGCGCGCCGTTCGTCGCCGCCCCTCCTCATGCGTGCAGCAGGCGAGGCGCACAGGGCCGTCGTCATGAGCGTGTCGGTGGGTGTGCGAGTGGAGCAGTTGGGCGGGAAACACACGGCACCCCCCACAGGAAGAGTGCAGCAAGAAACAATTAAAGAGGGAAGAGTAGAAAAGAAAAAAAAACGTCCATAGTGACTGCCCCAAAAGCAGCAAGAAAAAGAAGGGAAGTGATTTACAAAAAAGAAAACAAAAATAAAGAAAGTAAAAAAAAAAAAAAAATGGAATCAACAAAACTCATTGGGTATTGCTGGGATGCTGCTCAGTTGTTGTTCCACGAAAAGCCGCAATTCCGCCCTCCCTCGCACCTCAGCAGAGAGCCGCAGCGCCCCACAGTCCCAGAAGCAGCAGCAACAACACCCGAGACACACACCCATGCACGGTGCTTTCAGAAAATTCGCCCATGGCCAACAAATCCGCAATTTCCCCGGTGAAGGTGTCGTTGTCCGAGTGTCGTGCCGCGCCTTTTGTTGAGGGGATCCCTTCACCTCCAGGCGTGGTGTTTGTGTTACCCGGTGCGGTGTCGACTGTCTGTGGCACCTCCTTGCCGTTTTCAACGGGAAATTCGGTTCCTTCAGTCCGAAAGACGTCGTCGGTGTTCTCCGCGGATGACGGTTCGGCGTCACTCTTTGAAGGAGTGGGACTGCTGCCTGAACCCATAGTTCTCTCGGAATTTCCGTCCCTCGCCTCGAGGATGAGGCTTTCCTCCGCGCCGGTATTTCCGGTTCCAGTGGACCGCACGTCGTTGTTTTCAGCGGAAAGCTCAAGTTTTTGTTGCACTTGGTGCTCACCGTTCACTGATGCAGCGACCGTTTCCATACTCAACGACGCAGCTACTGGAGACGTTGTTCCACCACTCCTGCCATCCGCTTCTCCCTCCTCCTCTGGCTCTTCTGTATCAATACTTTCAGGGGATGTTTCAACATCATTGAACACCGTTGATTTCTCTGACTGTAGGTCTTGTGGCTGCACATATGAATCACGTTGCATCGATTCCTTCGCTTCATTCAGCGTGGTTTGCTGAGCCGTTTCGCCTCCGGAAAGCTGGGCATTGTCCTCTTGATGGGAATTCTCTGCGCTCTGCGCTGCAGTGGCGGATTCATGAACAGATGATTCCGCGTCAACTGTGGAAGAGTACGCTGCAAGCAGCAGATCATCGACGATTTCTTCCTCTTGTTCATCAGTATCGTCCTCAGTCAATTCCTCATAGCTGACGCTTTCTTCACTCCATGACTCGGAAACAACCGAAACGTCTGTGCTGGTCACCTGTTCTGTGGGCTTTTCTTCAACACCCAGTGATGGAATATTGACTTTGCTGGCATGGAGTTTGTACAGATCATCTCTCCACAGCTCCTCGTTGTACAGCATGACGTTGGTCACCGTCACATGGCCGCCCGTTGCACTTTGGTGCTTACTGTCCCCACCGATGTAGAAGTGTGAAATCCTGTGCGAGTCAAACAGACTCTCATTATATTTCGTCTTCTGGATTTCCTCTCGATCTACAAAGACAGTCCAATAATGATGATCCATTCGCAGTACCACCTGATACGTCCTGTTTGGCTCCCACTTAACAAAATCCTCCACATTACCAGCAGGATCCTCCGGTATGGCCAACCACTTCTTGTCATTGGTGTACGACAGACCAAAAAGCACCGTGCTGTCGGTGTCATTCATCTTCACACCCATCAAAGGGATGCTGCCTGTCTCCGGCACCTTGTGGATGGACACCGTCGCCACAAGAGTGAATTTGTTGTTAGCAAAGTAGTACGGCACAGTCTGCCCCATGTCGCCAACAGGCCACTCCGCCCCTGCCCCGGGTCCTTGGAACGTCAATCCATTGGGAACCCTTTTCTCCCCATTCGTCACTGTTGCATTCACGCCGAGGTACTCGTCTCGCCACTCGGTCTGAGTTGAGTTACCGGACAAGAAGCCAACAAGCCCATCAGTGGGAACACGACCATTGCACATACCCTTCTTTCTCGGGTCGACAGCGGCGCTGGAACCGGAACGGCATGTTTTCAAGGCCCTGTCCAAATCCTTCCATTTCTTCACCACTTCCTTTATCCGCTCCAGTTTCTCGGTCAGACGCACAGCAACAAGATTGTATGCTCCATCGCTCTTCTTGTTCTCGTACAGTGAAATCAACTCTTTATTTTTATCCTTTATCAACAGCGAGCTCGCGGCGGCGTCATCACCCTCACGGGATACCGGCCCAACATCATACACACGTGCCTTGTCCGTCACCCAAAGATGGAGCCGACCTTTTCCACCTTTATTGTCCTCCTTCGGATACACCGGCGCGGTGATGAGCATCACCTCCTTTCCCTCAATGATTGCGGTGGTGGATCCACTCTGGACACCGTGCCCCTTTCGATTGTGTGAGTTGCCCCACACGCGGGTAATTGGTTGGAAGTGTCCATTCCAATTGACTCCATGCGGAGTGGACATGTAAACGTCATAGTAGCCTCCAGCACAATGAGCCATCATGAAGAGTTCTGCGCCATATTCGTATTTTTCCCATCTCACAAGGGTTGGATCCCTGCAGCCTTTACCAGGCGTCTCGTATGAAAGCTCCCATTTTTTGTCTGACGGGTCAAAACTCATAGACAGTAAAAAGCTCGTTCCGTCCTTGCCTTTGGCCTGCATGGGGAACACAATCGTGCCGTCACGCATCACAACACCCGATCCTCCACCGCCAATTAACTCGGTCAAGAAACGAGATTTTCCTTTGGGTTCAGGGTTCACCACATGGGTCTCATTCCATCTGATTTTCTTCTTTTCACCCTCATCAGTGAGAGTTCCCTTCACGAGTAAAAGAGCTGGCTCATTCGTACCTTCAACCTGCGGCTTTGTATGGCTGTAGTTTCCCAGGAGCATGTAAACACTGTCCCCAAGTACAAGTGTCGTTGGTCGCGTTATGCCGTTTGCGGTATTGATACCCTCAGAACCTTCCTTTAGAAGATCTGCGCCAAAGGTACTCGCATCTGCCGTCAAGATCTCCGTCGGACCAGAATCAACATTTAAACCAAGGTACTTTGACGCAATCCCAGTAAAGCCGACTTCGCTGCAGTCGCCTCCATCCCTGCAATGGGCTTCAGCAATAGCAAATAAATGACCCTGCACTTCAACAAGGCTAGGAACGCGGAGCGAGGTGATTTTGCTTCCGGCCTCCCTCAATTCCTTCCAATTAGCAAATGATATCGATGTCGTCCCTGTGAACGGATCAATGATACTCCTTGTTTTACTTCCATCAGCGGCTGCAGCTTCACCAGTGCAGCACATCACAAGTAGGAGTAGCGGCACCGCAAAAGTAAACAGATGCCGGGACATGTTGGGCCTCTGCGGCTCACTCTCTCTTCCTTCCCTCCTCCTTCCGCTGGATCCGGTCACGCGGCGACGGTTGTGTGTGCGGGGTGCCTCCACTGCAGCAACACGTGAGAGCATATAAATATTTGTATGTGTGTTGGCGGTGTGTGTGCGTGTTGTTGGTCCTTTCACTGCCTTCGAATTTCACAGTAGCGTTTAGCGCGTGTTTTCTTTCTTTCCTAGCGTGACTGTGTGCGAGAAGTGGAAGAAAAAAAAAATTTGGTGGCATTAAACAAAAAGCCATGAAAGAAATATACAAAACAATAAACTTTATCATCGCCTATAGTGCGCCAAATGATCATCAATGTGTTACTTCTTGTTGTTGTTTCTCTCTCTCTCTCTCTCTCTCCCTCCCCTCCCCTCTGCAGTACTACAATGGTCAAGAAGATCACCAAAGGCACCTCACATGGCTTTAATCTGTCTGCAGCAGTATACACCCTATTTAACAAGACTCCAGAAAACAAGAAAAGATATAGAATATAATATAAATAATATATATAGATAGATATAAATATTTATATCCACATGAAGAGGCATGGGAGTCTTTAAGACCAACTGTGGTGTTCTTCTGAATGTCTTTTCCGTTCCGCATTGAACAAAGTAAAACAACTAAGATTTCCTTGTGTGTGTGTGTGTAGGAAAGAGGGAAAGGGAGAAGAAAAGAAACATTGCATTCGAACTAGCAGCAGGAACTACTTTTTGGTTCACTGGCTGGTTTGTTGAAATTTATCCCGGAAGAGTATTCACTGCCTTTCACTCGTATCTTGTCATATACAGTCCTAGCAAGCTCGTCAAATGCCTGTTCAACGCCCGCACGTGTCTTTGCGGATGTAAAGGCAAGAAGCATACGGCGCCTCTGTGCAAGCTGCTGCGCCTGTTCCTTCGGTACCGACATGAACGGCACTCCTTCCCCCTCGGAGCTTCCTCCAATGCATTTGTCAATTTTGTTTCCAATGAGCAAATATACCGCATCATCCTCGTCATCATTTCGACAAAAGACATCTGCCTCCTCCATCCACCGTTGAAGACCGTGAAATGTCTGTGGCTCGTTCACGTCATACACAAGCACGACGGCATTGGCACCGCGGTAGTAAGAACTCGTCAAGGTGCGAAATCGCTCCTGACCAGCAGTATCCCAAAGATGAATATTAACATTTCTCTTTACCCCATTTGCATCCATAACTTCCACGTTTTTAACTTTAAAATCAATCCCAATTGTTGAACTGATATCCGGGTCAAATGTTCCCGATGCAAAGGAAAGCATAAGCGAGGATTTCCCCACTCCACTATCCCCGAGAAGAAAGACTTTGATGCTCGCATCAACAGCCTGTGACATATAGAAGAAGAAGAAGAAGAAAATAAATAAATAAATAAATAAAAACAGCTAAAATTCAACCAATACTTCTTTCCACCCCCCCCCCTTCGATCTCCCTCCTTCCCTTCCTCTCTCTCTCTCTCTCTATCACTGTGTAATTGTGTGTGTGTGTGTATTTCTCTATCCATGCGTATTACCCAACGTGCAAGAGAAGGGTAGGCAACAACAACAAAGAAAAGAAAAGGAAAACAAACAAACAAATAGGCAAAATAAATCATCCACCTTCTCACTTGCATGTTTCCGTCACAAAACCAAAAATACGCATATATTTTTTTTTTATATGCGTATTTTTTGTTTGTTTGTTTGTTTTGTTTGTTTTTGGAGAGGCGCATGCACGCACGCAGCACCCCAAACATACATTGCCTTCAACGTGGAGAGATGCGTGTTTGTGGAGGGGGGGAAAGAAGCAGGAAAAAAAAAAAAAAAAGGAAAAAAAACGCCAGATTAGATCCCACAAAATCGCTTCTTAAACCCCCCACAAACCACTACCACTACCACCACTACCACCACCACCACTACCGTCTAAAAAAAAGGAAAAAATCAAATTCTTGCGTTGTATTCATATCATATCAATAACAATAAAGGGTGAGGAGGGAACAATAACTCTCCTTCTCAATCCCTGCATTTATTCTAATGTTCCCATTTCCTTTTGTTGTTGTTGTTGTTGTTGTTTTCTTCATTGGTGGTTGTATTTGTATGAGGGCAGGTGTGAAACGTTCTCTGGATTGTCAGCTTCTCTACGGAAAAGGCAAAGTACACATTAGAAATATATACATACATATAAATACATAGTGAGAAAGGGGGAAAGGAGAAAAAAAAAAGAAAAACAAAAGACCACAACAACAACAACAACAACAACAAATAAAAAAGAAAACGTGTGGACAGTCACGTTTCTTCCCTTTCATCCTCTGGAGATCGCCCCCTTTTTTTCGTCATTGGCATATTACCAAAAAAAAAGACTTTTTCATGCGAACCGGAAAAAAAAAAAATACCTTTTATTTTACAAGGCCGTCAAAGAAATGGACATCGCTTGGCGTCGCGGCTCGTCCGCCGGCATCTGTCGTTCGTGACACGGGACGCTGCCCTCTTGCGTCAACAATACGGCCACGACGATACTGCGCCGAGGGTCCACGCACAAGATCCGATAAAGGAAGCGGTCGTGTCGGGATCCACAGAGCCCCTGTCCCACCGTGCACCATATCCTGCGTGGCATTGTCGCGAGCCTTCTTAAGCATGTCATGATCAGCGGCAACGATCACTCTATGCTTTTCAAGCGACGCCTTAAATCGTTGAAGATCCCTCTCATACTGCAGCAAGAAGGTGCCAATAGAATCCAAAGTGTAGCCTTTATACTTTCCAGTGGTCAACGGCGTATCAAACTCTTCCTCCTCATCGCCCTCATCGCCAGTATCGTCACTCAGGGGTAAGCCAACCTTTCTACCAGTGGCAGTAAACACTGTCGTTGCGTGCATCCGGTCCTCGTTTTCCTCAAATTCCTGAAGTTGCTTGAGTGATGGAATAAGGTCCTGTCTCTTCGCAAGCGCCTTCCGTGAGGCACGTTGCAACTGGCTCAGATGAAATGCAAAATCATCCATCAGTTCATGGCGAGCGTCATCCTCTTCTTTCTCCAACTCTGCAATCGTCCTGGCGGCCCGAGTCCCTATAAGGGAAAGCAGGGACCTCTTCGCTTCATCAATCTTCTGACACTCCAGTCGCTCTTCATCGCAAATGGCACTCCTCGTGTTAAACTCCATGCGGAGTATTTCCGCAATGGCGTTCTTGTTCTCCTGCGCTTTTCTATTTTGAAAGCGATTGGCGAGACGTCGCCTGATTCTGTAGGCAAACACAACACTCTTAATCAATGCCTGTGCATCCTGCCGGCGTTTCATCTGCTGAGCTTCCTTCTCCACCGTCTCACGCTCCTCCTGCGCACGTATGGCCTCCAGAGACGCCTTCCCAACTTCTTCTCGAAGCTGCCCCCACTCATACTCTTCGGTGTCCCCAATAGAACGCCGCGCCTCCTCCTCGGACCCAATCATCTTTGCAACAGACTCTTCAACGGCAATAGCCACCTCTAATTCTCGACGTAAAAGATTTATATCCTCCTGCTCATTAGCAACAATAACGTCACGGCATTTTTTCTCCTCATCCATAGAAAAATGCAACTCTTCCTCCATTTTCCGTCGCCGCCTCAACTCGATCTCCTCCTTCTCGGCCTCCAGTAGGGCCTCCCCACGGGTGATGTTTTCCTCATCCATCAGCTTGGCCCTCTCTTCCCTTTCAGCCTTCTTCACAGTCAGTAGCAACTCATTCAGTGTATTTATTGTCCGGTCCCTCGCGGTAGCTTTGCCTTCCTCCACCTCAAACGTAATCTGTTCCCGAGCTTTGTTTTCCTCATCCATCAGTTTAGCTCTTTCCTCCCCCTCAGTACTCCCAACAGCCAGCAGCATCTCATTCAGTGTATCCATGAGTTTGCAAAGCTCATCAAAGGCATTTGTAGTACTGGCCAGCAGATGTTCACCCTCTTCTTCAATTTCTTGCCGTAGGAGCATCTCATCCACAACCAGTTTCATAATCCCTAATTCTACATCACCTTCCTCTTCGTTGGCCGTGATGGCAATTCGCCCCTGTGCTTCAGCATCGCATAATTCTTCTATCTTAGCCTTAGAGATGATACAATGTCTTTCCGTTAAAGCCATTTTATGGAGATCATTCATCTCTCCGCTTTCCACATCGTGCAGGCGATTTCTATCTAGTGACTCCTCATCGCACAGATTTTCCCGAGCACGGTATGACGCTCTATCAGTCCCTCCTAAAGCAGCCTTTCTCCTGCTATCGGATTCTTCGAGCATCAATTCATCCAACAATTGAACCTCGTTAAGCTCCACAAGTTTGCGTAAAGCGCTCTCCTCAAGCTGCAGCCACTCATCAAGCAGAGCATTCCGTTTATTCTCCTCGCTTTGTTGCAGCCGTGCCCGATCATCAGCTTCCTCACCCATCATACCACAGAGAGCAGCGGCCAACTCCTCGTTTCTGCAAACAGATGCCTCTTCGGCGGCCTTTTCATGCAGCAGTTTCATCATTGCGCTGTTGTGGTCATTGTCAACGACATTCCGAGCCAGTTCCTCCTGCTCCATCAGAGATGACAAGAACTGCGCATACAAAGCACTCTTTTCATCCATCATTAATCCCTCGCGAGATGCCGCCTCGCATGCATCCACAGCGCTCAAACAATGCTCCACACGTCTCAACACCTCCTCCTGCTGAATCGTCCTCCTCGCAACTTCCTCCTCCCCATCCACCAAAACAGCAGCAAGATTTTCTCCGGCCTTAAGAGCCAACTCTGAACCCAATTCATCCCCCTCCAGACGACTTTTGGCCCCCTGTTCCTCCAAGACAGCCTTACCCTCATTCCTCACAGCGCCTCTAACGTCACCATCACGCTGATTTGCTGCAGTCGTATGCCGTAACCTACGATGCTTCCCTACATTCCGATTCATACGCACGTCAAAGGCAACGACCTCAGATTCCTGGCAAAATTCAATTGTAGTCTCTTCAGGAGCCAATGCCAGCAACGACACACGACGGCGCAAACTCCTGTCAATATAATCAATGGCCCTTGAATTTCCAAAGGCATCACTCAACAAACTGGATCTCCGCCGTAAAAGATTCAACGACTCATTATCCGCTTCCATAGAAACGGGAAGATCGGCACACATCGGAAACAAAGCTCGAAGCCTCGCCTGCTCAGCGGCATTAGTCGCCTCTGCCGTCCGCAGCGCCTCCGCAATGTCTCTGCTCCGAGCCTCCATTGCATCCTCAAGCTCACGCAGTGCCTCGGCGTTCCCCTGTGGATCCTTGCTCAGTTCGTCGTAACGCTCACGTAGCTGCTTAAACTCCGCGTCATGCAGCAGTGCCTCAGACCAACCAGGAACATCCTGGGCCGAGAGGAATGAGTAATGCGACAACCGCGCCTCCCTCTCGCAAACCTCCAGCGCCAACTCATCCGCACGGGACCGAAGCGCATTCTCCAGCTCCGCGATCCGCGGCGCATTCGCCTCGGCGTCCTCCAGCGCAGTCAGATGATCCCGGAACAAGCCCTGGTACACGCCGTCACCGGCAAGCGGCAGCTCACTCAGGGGGACGCACTTGCGATCCTCGTACACGAGAAACGGGTTGCGGGCACGCACGTACTCGTTCCCATTCCCACGGTATGCGTCGACAATCTTCACGTTGCGAGCCAGCTCCTCTGCGCGCCTCATCATCTCTTTCTCAGTATAACTAACATCTTTCGCAATGGACGTATACCTTTGTTGCCGCACACGACGCCGCGCCAGCTGTGACAACACATTCATCCTCCTGCAGCGAGATGTCACCAAGGCGCACGCCCAGCACACGTCGTGGGAGAAACGGGTACTGCTCATGCGCCCTCTCCGTCGCCTCCGCGCGCTCCTCAGCCAGTCGCGCCACCAACGCAGTCATCTGCTCCTCCGTCGCTCGGATCGCGGCTGCGTTGCGTGTCGGGTCCCGGCGCTGCTCATCCAACTTGTTTGAAAGCTCGCGGAACGCTGGCTGCTGCACCGGACGCACATCACCAAGAAGAATGCCGCGCACCGGCTCCTCGGGAAGAAACGGGTACCGCTCGTGCAGATCCTCATTGCGAACGGCGTCAAGCCGCCGAGCCACTCGCACCTCACGTGCTATGCGACATGCCTGGTCACGCAGCTCCTGCTCAAGGCGCAAAATCCCCGCCGCATCGCCCGAGGTCGCCTCCTGCGCGTGCCGTGTCGCCAGCTCCGCAAAATTGGGATCAGACATGAGAGCCAACTCACGCAGAGGGACTCCCTTGACACTCCGCCCCAGAAATGGAAA